CTTCACCGCACCAAAACGCCCGTCTTCATGTCTCCACTATCACAGTTTTTATCCTCAGTGCTTTATGGTTTCATTCTGGCCGTCTGCACAGCGATCCTGTGGTTCAATCTTATTGTGGTATGATTTTGAATCTGATTCTGTATCACATCAACAGCACATTGTCTCCCACAGTCAGAATTAAATCTCACAGCAGAAACTACTGAACAACTGAAGTCTTTGACATGTCCTCAAAAAGATCCTGCGTCTGAACAACAACAACTCTGAGGTCACCAGGGAACCGAAGTGGAGCCTGTGAGGAGTCTGCGGATCCTGATGCTTGTGATCCTGCTGACAGTGAGAGTGTCAGGACGAGTGGGTCACCCACACATGGAGGACTTGTAAAACCGAGGACGGAGGCCCTCACAACAACTGAGGGATTATTCAAGAGCCCCAAGAAAGTCAGAAAGACCTGGAGGAAATGTTTGACAGAAGGCAGGTGATGGAGTTTTGGGAGTAGCCATCGTTCAATCTTTGCAGGCTCATGTTTAAATCTGTCTGCTCGTCTTGCACACAAAGCTTTCTTATATATAAAGTTTCAGGAAAGATGTGCTGCCTTCACTTCCAGCTTTCTTGCTGCCTTCTTTGAAACTGCACTTATAGTTTTAGGTTCTTATGTGTCTATGTTTTTTTCCACTCAGACAAGTTATATGTCTGCTGTAAAGACAGAAAATCTCTCTTTGGGGGGTAGAGGGGGGCAGGGGTTATGCCTTTAGTGATAGGACAGTGGATAGAGCCAGAAATTGGGGGGCGAGAGTGGGGACTGAAATGCGGGTAGAGGCCACAGGTCGGATTCAAACCCGGGGCCGCCCTCTTGGAGGACTAGAGCCTTTCTTACATGGGGCACGCACACAAACCACCGGACTACTGGGGCCCCTACGCTTGCTTTTAAAGCTAAAACATGAACCTTCACCTCCGCTTCTAAGAGTTTAACTAAAAGGTTTAGTCATTATCTTCACTCATGCAGAAACAACACATGCACGTGACACATACGATGTGGAAGTGCTGCAGCAGAGATGGGCTCCTTCATTTGTAACAAATGGCGTTCTAGCAGAAAGGAATCCATCTAATATGAAGTATAATCCTGATTTAATGTTCAAATGAGTTTTTGAGTGGTGGGATTATGCACACACGTCTGTGCTCAGGGTGCTTTGCATCATAAAGGGCAGAATTCCATTTATTCACTGTCAGAAGTGACAGAGGACATGCGGTGTGATGGGATGCTTTGCACCACACGGGAACGTTATGTGATCTTTTCATGAATGCTAAAGAGACAAAAGTGTGATGATGTTTCTCATAGATCGTGAAAAATGTCCAACAACAGCTAAAGGAGAACAAAAGAAAAAAAGGTGAAATGAAAAGAGAACAAAGAGGGAAGGGATTTTGAAGAGGATGTAACATGATAAAGTAAGAAAGTGTTTGGTTGTGCTTTCACAGAGAACAGCCCCCTGATGTTCCTGCAGCAGCCGGGCTGAGTGACAGTCACCAGATGGGTTTTTGGTAGAGCCGCCCTGATTGTTCGAGGCTCCGCAGAGCTGCTGTGGAGACTGCAGCAGCACACAGCTGCACACAACTGGCCAGCAGAACAAGACAGGTGGATATCAGGCAGGACATGCACTGTAAAAAAGTACCAAGCGCCACAAATCCTTTCACTTACACTTATTAAAAAGTTTCTTTTTTCTGAAATCGGGAGGCGAATCCTGCTAAGGTGAGTTTAACATTCATGCAGCGGTCAAAACTTAGATGTGGGCAAAACCAACATTAAGGTAAAGTGAGGCGAGTTTAAAATGGAATCCGTATGGTGTGACTCTACCCTCCATCTGCCATCAATAACACTTCATTTTACCTCTGAGACCCATCAGGCTCCAGAAAAACTCTGTAGGAGTTCATCACAAATGAGAACCTCTGTTTGACCCCTGGAGTTTTGATTTGAATGTTGTATCCATTACCTTTTTTTTAATCCTGTTATCTTTAATTTGATCACATTGTCTTCGTTAGCCTCGGGATATTCAGCTGATGCTTGATATAAAAATCATGAGAGGACAGAAAAACCCATGAGCACAGGTTACTAAATATCAACAAAGGTCCATTTTCTGTCTATTTTTATTACCTGTTCACCTACTAATCTTGTGAAACAAAACCCCTATGCAAGATATTTACTGAATGAAACGATGAGCTCACTATATCATCAGACATTAAAGAAACATGCTATGTTAACTAAAAACAATGCAGACCGATGCAGAGCTGGCTAAACACTGAAGCTTCAGTGTCCCCAACATGACAACCTGCGTGCATATCGACTCTAGGGAGGACGGGGCGGGGCGAGACAGCTCTCTCCAATGTTTTGAATTTGGACTGCAGTACTAATTCCAAACACTAGGTGTCAGAGTTACATACTGCTCCTTTAAATATTCTTTATTAACCACTACTGTATCAATTTGTACACAAAAAAACAATCTGCAATGTAAATATTAATTATCAACGTGTGCCTCTGAAGTCATGACAGCAGCAGGATATTTGCATGAAAACTCAAGATCGTGGTAACGGGGACATCAAGAGCTGAAGTCAAATATTACGTAACACATTAATGAAGCATTAAATGGAGACGGCTGGTGTGAAACAACACAGAAGACAGAAGTGTTGACGGACAATTTTAACATTTTAGCACCTTTAAATTAAAGCCAACAAGACCAGCAAAGACAAATCACACTTCTCTTCAGAAAGAAATGAAAGCTTGTTTATGTTACTTCATGGTCTTATTTGTTAGACAATTCAGGATGGAATTATTGCTTTTCATTTTCATTCATGCAAAATTTTCATTTCCATCAGCCTGTTGTGGTCAATTTATTTTCCATTTCCCTAACTAGCTTTCAGAAATGATTGTTCCAAATTCTACTTTTATATTACTTTTTGATACGGCACGTTGTCTGCACAGCAGGATGTCGATGTGGTGCTACTCTATGTGATGACTACAGCTTTTACTGCCACATCCAAAGACTAGTTTAAGTTCATTTTGAACAAAGACGATAGCATCAGATCATGAAAGAAGATATTAAAAGAAGCTGGACTGCATCAGGAAAAAAGGGTTTATCTCATCCAACTTGCATTTACCAAGGGGGAGATTTTGAAGACTCCCTAACAAACCAGCTGTCACATCTAAAAAGATCATTTTTTGCAGTGTAATGCACCAAGTCTCTCTCTCTTCTCTCCCTCTCTCTCTCTCTGCTAGTCTCTTTTCCTCTTCGGCTCATCATCATATCCTTCCTCACACCCATGTCCAATTAGCTCAACATGTGAGTGGACTCAAAGCAGAAATCCAGGATTTTCCCTCCTGCTGCGTCACAGATTCACAGTCATGTTGGCAGCTTAGCCCGAGATGACCCTCCAACACTGTCGACTGGATGTGCAATCCGCCTGCTCGCTGTCCCAGACTTTTTCACACCTTTTTTTCTCTCGACATATCTGCATTAAGACAGTTTCTTCTGCCTGCACAGCATTCTGGATTCCTACACATTCTGCACTTTAATATATATAGATATGGTTCTCCCCAACTTTTGTCTTTTCTGACTTCTGCGGTCTCTTTTACTCTCCCACATTGTGTGTTGACATCTTGCTCACTCTTCTCCACATTTCTCTTTCATTATGTCTCTCTCTCTCATTTGGCCAGGTAACAGGGTCTGAAGAAATCAGAACAAACAGAACTCCCACACCGCTCACTTACGTCAGTCGAGCAATTTTCCTCCAAAAGACACTTTGATATAAAACAGGAAACCTCCCATTTCACACACACACACACACACACACACACACACACACACACTGAATTGACAGTTCATCTCTCCTGTGTCCTTCAGCCAATCACAGTAGAGATGCAACAGCCCAATGTGGGACGAGACGTGTGAACGCACACACAAAAACATGCCTCAACAGTGGCCTCTCTTTGCTTCTGTTGGTGTTGTTGGCGGTGGAGTGAGTGTCACTAGCAAGACAGTTTCTATGGCAACATACAGGTGACTCACCAGGCAGTGATGCAGTTGCCCTGACAACGTGCAGTGTGTAGCACGGCTATGGGAGCCGAGTGAAAAAGGGAAGAGCACGTTTGTGGGTGTTTATTGTCGTGGGTGTCGAAGGAAAAAAAAAAAACGCAGCAGACCGAACAAATGATGAGACACAGAAAAACAGAATCGTCTGAAAACTCGCAGAAATCCTAACCTGAAAAAAAAAAAAAAAAAAAAGGTCTGAAGGGGGGTTTGGATACCGTGGATTGAAGTAACTTTTTTGGGAAGAGGGGAAGAAGTGAGTAGTAAATATTTGCCCTGCTTTTCTGGAGTGTAATGTTTTATTCAGATAAAAATAATATTAAGGCAACTTGACTGTCTACATTCAGGTCGGAGGTTTGGATGGTAGCAGCAGCCAATGTGGCCTTAAACCGACTGCAAGCCCAAAAGCAGAGTTAACGAGCAGGATACAAACCTGCCAGAGATGTTATTTCTACACTATAGGCACGAATTCAGCAATGTATGTTTCCGAAAATATTCTGCTCTCACTCTCACCCACATGTTTCCACGCTAGCATATTGCTTTAAAACTTGTGAAAACTTTGGACGGGCAATATGTTCACCACTCAGGTGGTTCAAGTCGTGATGAACACAAACAGAGGGATGATCATATGGAGTCCTGCTTGTGAACGCAGTTAAAATGAACTCATTGGAGGGCACCATATGCTCCAATGTTTACTGAAAAATAAAGTTAAAAAAGTGGGGGGGGGGGAGACTGTAAGAGGTAGAAAACAGAAAGGGAAAGCACTAGCAGTGACGATCACAAACTCTGCACTGCTACCTATATCATTACCATTGGAAAGGTTTTTTTTTTTTTCCCCGAATTGGATTAGGGACTGAAGTGCCTCCAATTAAGAACCGAACGTGGCGCTTGAAAACAAAAGCGTAGTTGTCTGTTTTCTCCTACCGTTGCGAGGGCAGGCGTTGAGCCGCTGGTTGATATCGAGCGAGCAGGGTTTGCGCGTGACGGCTGTGGTCACCGACTCGTACGGGTTTTCCTCGTCCTCTGGCAGGAAGACATCCAGAGACGGGGACGTGACGATCTCTGCGGAGTGCTTTGAATTCTGGGAGAGGGACAGAAAGAGAAACGGGAGAAATTAGAGGGTCATTTGTAAAAAACAGTCCAAGTGAGCCAGTTACTGTTAGAGTGGAGCGACAACCAACCAGGAGTAGCAGCAGTGTTACATTCAACGGGCTAAACACAAACATTACACTAATTACATTATTCAATCAGGACTGCAGCCACGCTGGCCTATTTTCCAGTCCAAGAGACCCATAAATGATGTATTATGGTAATGAATCATGTTTGGAAAGCAAAGCATAGAGCCCTTTAACTCAGTCCACATTCAGAGTGTTGGACCAAAGACAAGGTTATTTTGATACTTTAATGTGAAGTATGAAAGACTGTGAGCGCGCACTGTTAAGAGCTAAAAGAGAGGAACAAAGATCCTCTATGTGGGTGTCTATCTGTGTGGTAAACAGTGTCAACCAGGGCCAAAGACGTCTATCTTTGACTTCACCTTCAGGTGCATCATAAAAAAACGTTTTTTTTTTTTTTAAACAGCTCAGCATCAGCTCAGTAATCTCTCAGTTCAGCTCAAGTTCAACCTCGATCACACAGCTGGATTATCAAGAAAGATTTGGGCCGATGTTCAAAGCAAACACTGAAACAAACAGACGGTCGGAAAACATTGAAACTATTCTTCCTTCTTTTTTTTATTCCTCAAGAGTTTATCGTCCACTTCAGGGTCCCTTCAGGACTTTTGGGGGGTTTTGTTCATCTGTGATTAACGTGATTTTAGTTGAAGCTTTTCTTACAGCACAAAAAAGAAAAGAAAAGAAAAGAAAAGAAAAGCAATCTGAAGTATTTTGCATCCGTCTGCTATCAAATTGTCAAGACTGGCAAAGATTTAGGATAAGACGGAGCAATCTTGTGTTGATTTTCCTTTTTGCTCTCACGTGTCCAACTGCCTTTGCTGAGCACTAGACTCCAGTGAAATCGCTGCAATTGGGAAAATGAGTCCTTCATTTGAAGATTTACGGGCTTTATTTGACAAATGTGCTGCTACATGAAACGTCTAAACGGAAGGGAAACAAAGCCTCCGACACGTTTCAGTTCTGTTCATACACTTGAAGCTTAAAGTATGAGATGAAATGGCTTTATTTCGGTGTGTTGATTCTCTAACTGGTGAATGAGGTGTTGTTCAAATCATTCCTTTGATGGTGAGATAGCTTCAGGCTTTTTATCACATGGTGGGAAAGAACTTTCAAATGGGGTCAAAAACAACTTCTGAGAGACATAGCAAAAGAAATCCTGCAAACAGAAAAGAACAGCAACAGAGTTCAAAGTCAAAACAACGACCATCGTGTTAACTTGACTGAGCAGCTCAAGAATAGTTTGTGATTTTTATTTTTTTTATATCAGTTATTAATTAGCAACTTATGTGAGGATGTAACTGTGTTCTTCTCTTCTTCTCTTGTTTATGTACTGTCGTGTTTATATGCAGATCTGAAGTGCATTAAACAGCCTCATAATAGAACAGAAGAATAATAGAATTCCCCTCTCTCAAGCTCTGTGGCTTGGTCAACTGATAACATGTTTTGCTCACAAGTTGTGATTGCTTGAAGCAGAAATGGGGAAAGGGCTCATTTTGGTCTCAACATAACTACAAACTAACTCTCACCAAATGGTACGTACGTTATAGGAATGTAAATAGGGAGTAAGTTCTTCCTTTACTCTCTTAATCAATGTCGTTGCACTTTTTGTTTGTGAGGCTTTTTTTTAATAAGTCTCTGTGATTAGACCGTCTGCCAAGTGTCTTAATTGTAATTTGCATACTAAGTGAAATCCATCAGTGATTTCTTTTTCTTTTTCAACCTAAGAGACGAGCAGCATTCTGTCAGAAGTTCTTCATTTGGAGGTGAGAAAATGGTGAGTAACATGTGAGGGGAAATGCTTCTTTGGGACCTTTATGTTACGAGTTCTCTCTAGGTGTTTGAGGAGAATTTTCAGATTGCACATTGCTGCAGCGTTAGTGAAAAGGTTGAGCTCCCGAAGGAACCAACAGGTCCCTTTATCTCTGCAGCAGCTGCGTGCTCAGAAAGAATGAAAAACAAGAGGGAGTGATGTGAAGCGGGAAGGTTACAGGGCTGAGCATCATTTCACCCAAAAACAGACAAAACCCTGTCCTCTGGAGGTCTGAATATTTCCCACAACGCAACACTCCATCATCATTTCTGAGGAGTCACTTGGCAACAGGCCCATGGTTATACCCTCTCTAATGGGATCAGTGGTTAATGTGTCACCATGGCGATAAACTTGTGGGTTAGTGGCTACCCTTCTTCTGAACGGCGCTCAACAACTCTCTTTTTCTTCCGCCGCCTTCTCCTTCTCCTCGTTCGGCAGCCATTACTCTTTCTGTCATCGTCTGCTACTACATTACCCAGACTGCACCAGGCCATCAATCATGCACTGTGCACACTCAACAAGCATTAATCATGCCGGCTGACAGAGCAATCAGTCCCATGATGATTTCTCTCACTTACAAACCTCTACACTCGATCTGAGACTTTTCTTTTTTTCCACACAGCACTTTATTAAATCTAAACCCTTCCTTTCTCTTCCCCGCCCCTCCTTCCTTTTTTTTTTTTTTTAAAAATCCATTAGCACTCAATTAGGCCGCCATTACAAGCTAACGGAGAGCTGGTCAATCTTTTATGTCTGCACTCTGCAGGTGGCGTGGTCTCAGCTGACACTGATTTGACGTGACAGCACCGTTAGCTGCACATTTCACTCTCAGAGAGAGGAAAAAAAAAACGGAAAGCTGAGAGCACTCTGATGAAGCTGCTCCTTTCAGGGCCATGAAAACTCGAATCTGAAATCTAAACTCCTCTGACAGCTCTGATTAAAGGGCCGATTAATCAGCCTCATACTCATTTTAAAGTCTTTACCATATTTAGTGTTGCAGACGGAGCAGAAAACTGCAACTGGTACACTGTGTTTACGTGTTTAGGGAGCTTATTTACAGTCTCTCTGCTGTGACCTGATTTCTTACACACCATTAACTACGGGGAGAACGGGGAAGGGAAAAACCTGATTTGCAGGCGGATTTTTCCCGTTTCCTGTACATATGAATGGCTTTTGAATCAGCCTCATACATGAATGCATGTGCATGAAGCAGTATGTGAAGACAGGGAAGTAAGGATTGTTATTGACCATAGGACCTTGAAGATCAGGCTCCGCCTCCAGAGTGCTGCAGATGGTTATGTTTATGCGACACTAAGTCATCTGAGGTCATGAAAATCATGCTTTGGGCTTAATGCTGGTAAAATAAGCCCGTCCTCTCACAGTTAAAGTCATTATGCACGCTTTAAATGTATGGCTGATAACACAATCTTTCCCTACCCAAAACATTTATGTTAACTCTGTCAAACCTGGACGTAGTCTCAGCATTTTGAATCCCATTGTTGTCATTCGGCGTATTGGAAATGCTACCTCCGTCTTAAGTTTAAAATCTATCTAGAAGCAGAAATAGAGAAGGAGCTGAGGTGAGGTGAGCCGAGAGCCTCCGGGCAAACAGTTACAACACGCCCACCTGTTGGATAACTAAGTCTTTTCCTCAAATTATGCAAAGTTATGCCTAACTATTAGCCTTGATAAAATCAAAACAGATGCGTTAAAAGAAATCCCCTCTGTGTAGTTTTTACCAACAAAAAAAATGAGCTAAGTAGGCCAAAACAGCTTTGTGAACCAGGCTATAAACAGGTTTGTTTCTGCTTGTAAATGAGGGATTCCTTTGGTTTTTTGAGCCAGCCAGTGGCTTCATTTTCTACATCTGAGGTGGCAGCTTTTAGAAAACCTGATTCTTGGGGCTAAGCTTTAGAAAATGTGTTTGCTGTTGCATATAAGTTGAATATAGAAGACATGGGGTTTGTATCAAATCACACAGTAGTTTCATGCAGCACACAATCAAAAAGTAGCCTCAAAGTGACTGCATGTTAAACAAGATTTTAAGTTAAATCTGCTCTTCAATTTCCTGCACAAACTGAGTTTTCCGAGTAATCGAGTTGCTTGTACGGATGTTGACATACTGTATTTGTGACGGGCAGGAAATGCATCAGATTGCTTCATTGCACGAAGCTGGGAGAGGGTGCAGTTCCTCTGAGAGAAATCAAGATAAAGTTTCAAAATGACTTTAAGTAAAAGCAGATTTAAATGGATACAGGGACGAGTCAAAGAGGGTTTTTTTTTTTTTTTTCAACTGGGGGTGGCAGGATAAATGATGAAACTCAGTCCTGATTTGAATATAAAACATCTGATGTTTCTGATGAAAGAGAGCTGAGAGAATGAGGCTCCAGTGTTAACAGTAATTACCACGTTGTCGACATGAATTAACAATGACATTCGGAAGAGAGGAATCTAAAACGCCACAGGTACAGTAGCATCATTAATAGAAGGAGAGAAGAAAGCACTCTAAGGACTGCAGCTCAGGAAAGAGAGATCTGTAGTGTCTGCAGGGAGAGTGAATACTGGGGGAATGAGTTAGGAAGCAGAGAATGGTTAAGAAATGTGCCTGGAATTATTATTAAAAGGGCAGGGATATGAGGAAGCAGCCTTAATGTGTACTTTCATTTCATTTCTCATTCTCCCACTAAGTGCTCTGTTGGTTCTTCCCTACCCTTTATCCCTACTCCTGCCTCTTATTCTCTCTCTCTCTCTCTCTCTCTCTCTCTCTCTCTCTCTCTCTATTTCACTTCTACATGTATATCATCTTTCTCATTATACCTTCCTTCAAATCTGCAGCTTCCATCCCATCATTTTAGCAGGAAACAGAAGGAGAAAAAGAAGAGGCTTGAGCTGACAGGAGGTAACAAAAGCCGTCACAAAGACAGAGAAAGAGAGAGAGAGAGAGAGAGAGAGAGAGAGATAAACACAGGTGGATCATAGGACACCAGGATCCGACTTACTCTGGAGTTTGTGACAGGGAATCCAGAGGAGACGAGCACGAGACAGAGCGGGAAGAGGAATTGAGTTTAGTACTGAGGAAGAGGAAGCAGAGGAAGT